TTAATTAACTTAAAACCGAGGTCTATTTTATTCATCTTAATAAAACAGAAAACTTTTTTAAACAATACCATAATATCTGTGGGTGATACAAGCAGGACAGGGCTTTTTTTGTGGCTTTTGATTACATAATTCAGGGTTATTTGAGTTTGATTTTAGGGTTTTATTTTGTCTTGAGTTGGTAACACTGTTCAGTTTCTACTTTCAAATAAATTATATCAGCGCGGCGGATGGCATGAATGACTAATTCGAGCAATGCTTAGTCTACCTACACCAAACGTCACCTTTCTCGGGTCGAGAGTGAGATGAGATATCTTACAGACGCACCCAATAAGTTAATAGTATAGTAGGGGCCATAAAGGGTGGCAAGTCGGCAAAATGCCACGAGCCCCCAGCTGGAAGGGGCCCCCGGTCAGAGAAGACAACTTACTCATGGCATTTATCATTACGCAGTTAGTAAAAAAAATTGAATATCCGATGAAATTGTCACGGACCTCAAACAGTATAGTTACGCCACTGCTTATAGGTGCGTAACCTGAGACAAGTGACTTTGGGTGTAGACAAAACGTTCACGAGTTCGTCATGCTATGCCTGCTGGGACTTCTGATTTAGGAATCGGTGATCAACACATTTAACTGGATTGACATGAACAACAACGAATACTTTACTTTTTGTCATATTTTAATAATTCAGAGTATTTTACACAACAGTTACAGAACATAAATACCTTTGGTATTGCGCCATAGAAGTGGTAATAATTGCACATAATTTATTTCCTCTAACTACAATATGTACAAAAAATACATTAATACAAAAACTAGTTCATTGCCGTATTCCTATGTTTAGAAAACGTTTATAAATGGATTATGTCTAAAACACATTTTGAAGTTATTTATTATAAAATAGACAAGTTTAAAAAAAAAGAGTTATACGCAAAGTAAATAACATTCTAAATGAGATTAGAATACAGCATGTGAATAGTGGTACATAGATAAACCGAGCTCTTGCGATTTTACAGGAAAAAAAAAACATAATTTCCTATAAAATCTATTTCTATTCTCGCCATTCGCATTGACCAGCATAATTCTTATTGAATTATGATTTAATTAAGAAATTATATTTTTAATAATTGTATACTGTATTCGAATACAACAAATTAGCAATAAATATATCACAGCACCCTTAAAAATAAAAACATGTTTTTGTTCCTATGAAATGTAGTTGTTTGTGTATTTTATAGTCATGCCTTAGTTGGTGGCTCACATTATCTTGGCACTACATGTATTCTACTACTAACTGTCGTATTGTTACGATGGCTTTGCTTTCTGACCTTATAGATATCTATCACCACCACCCCACATTAAGGCTGAAACACATTCTTGTGTCGTGTAGTGTAATGGCGTGATAGAAGCATATCGGTTTCACTCATTTCAAAGTTTGCTTAGAAACATATTTGTATTTGATATTGAAATTTTCGGTTTAATTCTGTTCACTAAGAACAATATAATTTGAGTCAAAATGGTCACAGTACTATATAAAATGAATAACATCGCAACAGCCCAATAATAAACAGCTTTATTCACACCGAGCGATGTAAGGTGATCCAATGTGTTATAATCGCGTTCTGGTCTCCAAACGTCGTACTAATCAGGATTGCTCAGCCCAATCCTCGACAAAATCTGATTGATCCGTCCAACGTTACAGATTCTAATTGATTCGTTCAATGTTTGACAGATTCAGTGGCGTAACTACAGGATAGCAAGTCGGCAAAATGCCACGGGCCCCCAGCTGGAAGAGGCCCCCGGTCAGATGAGACTGCTTACTCCTGACATTTATTATTACGCAATTAGTAAAAAAAAATAAAAAAAAATATATCCGATGAATTTGCCACGGGCCTCAAACAGTATAGTTACGCCACTGGACAGATTCTTATTGGTCAGTAAAACATTTGAAAGCCAGAACATGATATTCGTCTAGTTGCGTGGTAATCACACGTGATGAGAGCGCGGTCCACAGGAGCGGAAATGTGATAAACAAGCTTTTTTTGCTTTGCGCCTGCGGTGTGGCAACCGCCCACACCAAACGCTCCACTATACATGAGCTGGATCACTCTGTGGATGCGGTTATTACTCAATATAAAGTAGTTACAAACCATTAAATGAACTGATAAAAATAAAGTACAATTATGAAAAATGCATTTTGTATACAAAAAGTAGTAAAAAATTAACCTACCTACATAAAGAGAATTCATTGAAATGTAAGTATAATTAAATAAAAATTGGCATTCAATTTATTCAGATTATTACAGATAAGTGGATATATTTATAAGCGTCAATTATTTTAAGTAATTTTCAGCCAGATGCACAAACGTCCATTAAGATTTAATGTCGACTTGAAGCTGTAATAAATGTCAAATTTGTATGGGTAATGCCACTTTAACTAATGGCTTTTTTAATGGGCATTTGTGCAATTAGCTGTTAATCTGTTACTCTAATAAATATTATTATACAATGATAAATATTTGAAACTATTTACACGATGATATAAAAATTTCTCATTACATAAATTTAATTTAAGGTCGGATCTCATTTGGGTCGCATAAAATATAAGAATTGCTCGCTGCAATTTCAAAAGTCTCAAAAAGAATACTTTTTCTCATTCGTAAAGTTATGCAAATAAGAACCTTCCTAAATAATTGTGCCCAAATTTTGTGTATATTTTTCTGAGTTACAAATTCAACTAAATTTTATTAATATGCAAGATGGATATTGTACATAGTAACATTCTACTCAAACTGTAAATTGCGATAGAAAGAGTTTATTGCACATAACAATATTTTCGATCTGGTTCTAGTTAAGGATATATTCACAATTGAGATTCCTTTTGTTGTTATTACGATAAATATCTAATTTATTTTATAATGGACATCACTATGTACTATTATTCATTGGACATCGTTATTACATTTATATGATTTGAATGAAAAAAGTTTATATAAATTATTCTATTATTTATCCAGAACAGTGATTCTTTTCGACAGGCGACCCAAAATATAAAGAAAATTTTATAGTTAGTGCATGTAATTTTATATTGAGTTTATTACGGTAAACCATGTCACGTTTTCCTCCCTCTTTTACCTACTGTAACTGTAGGCCGATAACCTCTCTATATTGTTTGCTACTATCAAAATAAAAATTAATAACTATTAAAATAAAAATGTATAACAATATATAACATAAACAATCATCGTATATTATATAATTTGCATATCAAATTTTCCTGTATTCTTATACTTTTGAACATTCTTGCGGTTATGAAATGCTGATAATATTACTACAGCATAATATTAAAAATGCAATGCTCAGATTTCAATTTAAACGAGTTCGAGTAAAAATGTATCATAAAACAATCCATCATATATTAGACATCGATTTGTTTCATTGCATATCGATACTAATCTGAAATTCACCAACCTGTTCCAAATTATAATAATATTATAAAGTGCCATTCTATCTTATTTTACGTACAATAATTACTAAATGCCTTTTAAGGAAGTGTGGAATGCAAGAATCATGATATCGTCATAGAAATTAATTGTATTTTTGCGTTATATAAATTTGTCGGGAGTATGGCCCGTATAATATAATATCAAACGCAATCCTCTTATTATTTGTTTGCTGTGATTCGTACTACGCATGCGGTAGTACATATGTGATGTATTACTCAAGCAGACTAATCACTATGAACTAAAAACACACAATTGTCTGCAAAATGTGTACGACAATAACATAACATTTGGCGGCAGTATTTGTGATAATATTTACCTTACACGTAGACTTAATTTGTCCTAATAATGTATACTGACAATTGAACCAAAGTTGCAACACGGCAGTATAATAATGTAAAATAATATAATTTGTGCAGACAATTTTGAACTTTATATTAAACAGATTTTGGCTTAATTGGTTATTGGAGAAATTTGGCATTTCTGAATAAGCTGACGTGATGTCAACAGTTAATTTATTGTCTATGGCGATATCATCATTTATATATAAATTAATTTATAACTACGAAGCGTTTCACTAATAACTGTCGTATCGGGCGTTGCTTATACATATCACAGGTTGCGTCTAAAGGCGTATACAAACTTGAACTGGCCTGCTCAAGTCAGTATAAGTCTTAACATTTATTAGACATAATACTAGGTAGGTGATGATGGTCATTGGTATATAGACTAAATATATTACAATAACTAATAAATAACGACATGTCATCTTACAACTATGACTATTTAATTAAGGAAACATCATAGGTGTTGTGTACCGGATGGGATTTTAGGAAGTTATTTTTTTAGGTCGTTTAGGTATTTCTTTGATTAAACATTAATGGAAAGCAACAAATAATTAAGAGGTTCGATAGTCTTATGATGGCCATAATTGTTTTTTAACTGTATAAGTAATATCAATAAATCAATTTATTTGTATAAATAAACGGTAACAAACATTATTGCGGAAAGTCAACATTAAACGAATTTGTGAAATGTCAACAAATACTGATTATAGAGATCCATGAAATAATACATTAGTTTGTACGGCAATACAAAGTATCCGGTGCTATCGACAATTTCAGATCATCAATAGAGGTATCACAGACACCGAGAACAGCAAATTATATCTGACGTGCTTCTACTGTCCACTCTTTTGAATATATTTAAAGTGTTTATACTATCCAGTGTATATTGCTACATTACAAATATTAAACCAACATTCATGCGAGATTATTGCAAAGAAGTCTTCTAACATGGAAGCTACTCTGACTAGGTTCGGCTCATTTCAGAATGGCAAGTCACCACGTCATATTCTATTCTCTCTCACTCTTTAAACATCAACGCTAAGACCCTGAGAGAAATCAGTCATCGACCCGCTCGACGACGTCTCCGTACATAGGAAACGGACAGGGGGTCATTCCAACGTGGAATCGGCGAAGCGGACAGACCGGACGGCTCACGCGTTATCGAACCCGTGAAAGTCCCCCGGCCAATTCTCTCTTCTCGCCGCGCGATCGGAGCCCGTGCACGCGAAGAAGGCGTCCCCTTCGAACGGATCTGATTCCCTAGTGAATATATTGACCGATTCCGATTTCTTTATGTCCCTATGGGCGTTGATCGGTTTCGCTCTGAGCGGGGGGACGTCTCCTTCGTCCTCCTCTGCTATAGAGGCTGTCCTCCCTCGGGGCGTGGACATACTAGTGAAGTCGTCCTCGAACATCGATCGCGGTGAAACAGAGTCCGAGTCGAATCGGAATCGAGTCGCCGGCGAATCGGCGTCGCGCGCTCTCGTACTACTCGCTGATAGAGGCGATGCGGTCACCTCGTCCGGCTCGAACGCAAAACTAGTGTATAAAATGAAATATTGCATTGTTAATTTTCAGTTTCCGTGAACTGTGTTCAAATTCAATAGTTTTGGCCCTTGGAACGAATGATGGAAACGCCAAAGGATTCGTAAAGTCTAAATATGTAAAAAAATGCATAAATCACAAACACTTGAAATCGTTTGAAAGTTATATATAGGGATAGTTAACAGCAAGTGATAGATATTACAAGGCTTCAAATTAAGTAGCTAAGATATAGTGAGGTAAAAGAGCGATAGTAACTAATGAGGACCAGTAGATGACAATAATTAGACAGCTGCATATGTCTTTCAAGAATACAACTTGCAGTTATCTACCATTCGAAAATTTGTACCTTAGCGAACTTGTTTAACCTCCGCGTTTAACAAGTGATAATAGATGGTAGCGCGAGATAATCAATGATAGAAGCCGGCAAAAGTGTGAGAGCGAGGATGTAAAAAAGTACAGGCACTCACCGTGTGCCCTCTAGCGTGGAGTACGGCGGTCGCTTCTTAGTGGTAGGCGTGGGCGCGTCGTGCAGGTCGTTGTCGAACGGTGACACGTGTTCGCGCGGCGAGAAATCGTTAGAGAAGCGGTAGTCGCGCACGCGGGGGCGGGGCTCTGGGTCGGCACGGGCGCGACGGCGGCGCTCGGTACCCGCTTCCCACGCCTCCCTGCCCTCGCGCCCCTCCCTGCCTTCCCGCCCTTCACGCCCCTCCCGCCGCGAAGAACCCGACCCCGAGCCAGAGCCCGACCTACGACCTGCCCATGACAACGTCGACCCGTACCTGATGACCGAACGGTGGTGTGAATGAAAAAGTTGTCTTACTAGCATACGAAGAGTGCCGCGTCACCGTATGATGTTAAAATTGTTTTTTTTTTACAATTGATTAAGTTAAATTTTTGTTTCCTACCGATTGAACTACTGAACACACTTAAATATAAAATTAATCTTAATCAAAACACTCACATTATTCATATCTTTATTTACGTTAACGGGACAGCCCAGCTGCACAAACAAGCACAGTTGCACAATGTCATTTAAAATTGTCATTAGTTTAAAGCGATATTACCGATACAAATTTTCAAATTTAGAATGTTCCATAGAGCTTAAAGTCGTCATTAAACCTTAATGGACGTTTATGCAACTGGCCGAGAGTAATACAAATTATATGGCTCAATGATGGACTTGCGTAGAAGGCTACTCCAAACACGATAAATGTTAGTTAATCAGAATGATTCAAGTATCAAGAGTATTTACGCGCTTGAACCCCGCTGAGTGTGAGACAGAAACCTACTATGATGTAATTTGCACCTAATTTTAGTTGTAACAAAAATAAAAAAAATATCGTGCGTCCGGTTATTGTCGGTATTCGTAAATCTGCTCTGACCAAATTAAAGCCACAAACCAACAAATCCGTGAAAATATGGATAACTTAATTTATTCATCAAAGATTATATAAAAATTACCTCCTATCACTAAGTTCTTCACTTTGTCTCATTTCAGCTCTGCGTCGCGTCTCTCGCCATCCCAATGAACCGTAATTTCTCTCTAAAAAAACAACAAATTATTATTATGACTTTCCACAGTCGAAACAAAAAATGCGAATATATTTTTCAACATCTACTAACCATCTCTACGCCATCGTTGGTCCGGCCATCGATCGCGGGGAGACGATCTACCAGATCCACAACCGTCACTGTAACTGAAATATTATCATATTTAGTCTTCACTCGTAATCAAGGTCATCAAAATAAAGTATAAAAAAACACACAAAATTTCGAGTATCTAAGTATAATAATTTGACAGCATTCGTTATTTTTATCATACTCATCAACATTAAACGTTACTAGATTAATTAGACCTAATTTTATTGTAGATATTCAAGCGATTCATATCTATATACGCTAAACAGTTATAAATTAGAATTTGTTGTTGGAAATGCAAATAAAGTTTATTATTATTATATGAAATCTACTAATGTAATTAATTCAGTATTTGATTTAAATAATTGGTATTAAAATTCTACTTACTCTTCTTCCTCGTCATATGAATGTCGCGTCTTCCGATGTCTATCCCTGTCTTTGTCTCTGTAATCTTTCGATCTCTCTCTACTTCGCGAATCCCTGTAGTCTCTGTCTCTACTGTAATTTCTATCTCTATCCCACATATCATTATCTCTATCTCTACTTCTCCTATCCCTCCTATCTCTATGGTCCCTATGGTCACGTTCCTTGCTGATGTCACGTCGATCCCTCCCACTGCCAGAGTCTCTTCTGTCTCTAGCGGAGTCCCTTCCATCTCTACTTATATCCCTATCTCTGTCTCGACTGTCTCTTTTATCTCTTAGTTTGTCCTTTTCTCGACCGCTGCCTGAGTCTAGACATTCTCTAGAACCCGATGAGTTGTGTCTAGAAATATAAGCAATGACATTTTGTTATGATTGGTGTCACAGTTATCAAAATGTATCAGTCTTTGTATCCTATTATAAGGAGACAGACACACACAGAGAGAGAAAATGTTTTGGCACAGTACGGTTATGAATCTCAAGTGACGTAAGCATGAATGTGCCGAATCTTCCTCGATCGTTACTTATTTTTTCGTTACTGCATGTTACTTTTTTTTTATATGAATGTTACACAATATGTAAGTCAATAGTGAACCGATTTGAAACAACCTTTTTTCGTTTGAAAAGGTCGAATGTTTTTCATAAAAATGACACGAGGTTTACGCCACTAGTATGTTGTAAACAAAAAAGTGAATTTACATCTCGTTTCACTAAGAAGAATTTAAATATTTACTTATACTCAAAGATCTGGTACAACGTTTATTATCATCAGCTGGGTAATGACTACACGGATGGGGTACAGGTCTACCCTATGGATAAAAAGGAAAACACCAAGAAAAAGATGTAGGAAGAGCAGTCATGCTATTCCGTAATAGAATCAACCTCGAACTCGATGTTGAGCACAGTACTGTCACAGCAAAGAGATTCAAAGGCATGAAACCTTTATTACCTTTTGAAGACTAGCGACATCGCTATGCTCAGACATCAAGCTTGAGGCTAGCTTTATTACAGAATGTCACAATTGATCGCAAATTACCACACGTTTCTAGTGCGAGTCGGTGGACGTGAAGGACTAATGGCTTAATGTGCCTTTTGAAATGATACATTTTTGTTTATCTATCCGTTAATCGACCTTTGCCAAATATTTAAATTTAGCTAAATTAGTGTGGACCTACCTCGACTCTCTGTCCCGGTCGCGATGGTCACGATGATGTGACGGCGGTCTTTGTAACCTTTGCACCGGAGGCAACTCTTCCTCCCACGGTGATGCATCTCGAGATGAGGACGATGTTTGTACTATTGAATATAATGTTAACAGCTTGTTTATTTTTACATGTAACCGTAAAATTATTTTAATGACAATAGGGTATTTGACTAATTTTGAAAAATAGTTTTCAATTATTCTTTATTAAATAATATGCATATTACATGAATATTTCGGGGAAATTTACTGTATTTATCTATAAAAATCAAAGTTAAAGTTTAAATTTCCGGAACCGCACGATAAACGCCATGTCTGTGATACGCCGCGTATGACGTAACGCGCTGGTAAATAAACAAACCTCATCATATTAGAATCGTCAACAGAAAGCTATATTTACTAACGTGTGTCGTCATCTGAGTTGCAACTACTTCAAAATCCAAAAGGAGGAGGTTATATGTTCGACGGCGATGTAGTTGTTGATCGATTTTCAAAATTCTTTTATTATTATAAAAAGGATGTGTACTGACCGTGCCTGGAGCCGTGCCGCCGTCGTCTCGGCCGCCGCGGTCCAGAGTCGCGACTATCTGACGATGCAGGGGAGGCATGCTCCCCCAATACCGCCCACCTACCCCCTACTCCGCCCACACCGCCCACCCCGCCCACTACCCCACTGCTCACACGCTTTTCTATAGACAACATAACGATTACATAAAGAAAATTTTGAACACTGGACATAAATAAATTTATTTACGTTTACGTTTGGTATAATAGATAAATAAATCAAATATTTTTTTAAATGCATGTTTGACAGATAAATATCAAATATTGTTATGATATTTATGGGACGTCTCTATTAAAATCTTTTAAGTTGTATGAATGACTCTTCCTATCTTTCTAACTCTAGCAAATGGCAGTTCTGAGCGAAAATGGATAGGGGACCTAAATGGGTGATATCGTGTCAAAAGATGTAGTCCAACCTATATTAAACAAACTACTACTACTAAAATAACTTTTTTTCGCATGTATTTACTGAATAAATTGTCAAAAAACTTCAATTCGTAAGTGCTTCGTTAAATAATAATTAAAAGTTACCTTTAGTATCAGGCGAAGAACCACTGACCACATCACTAATTGAACCGGTAGAAAGCCGAGTAGGCGGCGGTAACGGCGCGGGTCTTAACGGTGCCGGCTCAGATACAGGTGCCAGCTGTACCTCCACTTTCTTATCTTCTTCCCTCTCTTTCACTACTGGGCTCTTTCTAAACGCGTCTTCTACGTGCGAGAAGGACAACGAGCTGTTATCTATACAATCGAAAAAGTCAGAGTTATCAAAACCATCGGATTTCTCATCTGATTTCTTTCTCTCTTTCGTTGGTTCTGGTGGTAAAGATTCGAACTCGTCTTGAGGGGGTTCAGTGATTGTTATTTCTCGTAACGCAGCGTATCTGTCGTTCGTGTCTTCGTGTTTCACATCCACTGAGCCGTTATCCCTAGGTGAAACGCTTCTTCTGCTTTTCTCTATTTGTAATGTTTTCATCACAGATTTTATATCTTCTATTTTAGCATCGATCTGTGTCGGCTTTGGACTGACCGAGTTCCTAAACATATTAAAAGAATCTAAAGTTAATTCATCTAAAGTCTTCAACGGACTACGCGATGTCTCTTTGACTTCATTTAGAGTTTCCTCATTCGTTTTTATTATGTCGTCTATAGCCGTCAACTCTTCTTTATCGTCTGAATCTTGTTTGGTTTCAGACTCAGGGTTATCTAGTGGATCTAATATAGACTTAGATCTCAATTCTTGCTCTTGTATTTCTCTGAATGCGGCATATCTGTCGTAGGAAGGATTCGCTTTCTTATCAAAGTCATCGAAATTCGCAACGAAAGTGTCGCTAGTTTCAGTGGCGGTTGCAGGTGCGAAGTTATCTTCAAATTGTGGCTTGAAGTCAATCGTATCGGGTTTGAATGGAATAGGTGGTATGGTTGAATTGACTGGTTTCTCAGGCAAGGCAGTTGGCAGAGATGATCTAGATTTATCCTTTTCTGTTTTCATAGATGTTTCTATGTGAATGTGCTGTTAAAAGTATGAAAATATTTATTCATTTGAGAATACAGTTACATAAATCAAAGCTAATAATAAAATATTACAAGATTACAAGATCAAGAAGACCAAGTAGGTAATGGCCCATTTTCCCTTTTCGATTCGAATCAATAGATTTTAATAGACTGAAAGCATTAACACTTACCGCTCTTTCAGTATCCGCTGCTAGATACGATCTGAGATACTCGGTAAGTTGTGGTAATGTCAACGAGGAGAGAGTGGCCGCAGGAACCCGCAATCTGTAAATGATACCGAAACATTATTTCAAATTTGATGGAAAACAAAAAAAAATACTACTTTGTTATTTATAGCTTGTAAAGTTACATAAAAGTGCGTTCTACATGTTTGCAAACACAACCCTTGCCTGACTTTAATAATAGTTGCTTTAATTATTAATCTTCTCAATTTATGAAATTATAAAAAATATTTTTTTTTTTGTAGTTTTCTTTTGTTCCTTTTCTGAATCGGTTAACTTTTAATAGTTCATATCTTTAAAACTAAGCCAAACAGTGATTAGTGTTAGTATAAAAGGTGGTTAATATTATTATGGTCTGGAGGGGGTAATAACTAGAACGAGCCTTGTGGTTCTACTGCGTAACTTAAAGGCCTGATTGATCTGTTAGGCTACCAAGATCAATCAGGTTTTATTCTGAACTTTGAAAATCACATTTAAACACATCTTAATGAAGCTCTGATAGATCAGATTAATGGGCAGGCCAATTCTGATGTTTACGTAATAATAGAATCTCAACTACTTTTTACTAATAATATGGGACTTTTGGTAGATTGCACATTGGATTGATTTGTAAAATGCAAATCGTTCAGATTCTATTGAGATGCAATTATTACAGCCTGCAGGACTGATAGTCGCTGATCACCGGTATCTGAATAATGCGATCTCACCGCACGGCCAGCTCGTCCATAGAGCAGGTGAGAAGTTGCGTGAGCGTGATGTCGAAGCGCCTGGCGGCAGGCAGCGGCGGCGGTGCCGGCGTCAAATACTCCTCCTCGCTACTATTAGTAGCCGCTGATGATAAACGAGGCTTCACACTGCGGTCCGGCTGGTTTAATATAATCATACAACATCACGATATGCTCAGCTTCTACTATAATGTTAAAAGGGAAAGATATAGACTACTACTTGCAGCACTGATTGTCGATTTCACTTCGGGCATCACTATCTGTCAGTTAGCTGTCACTGTCACTTTGACTTTCTCAATTTCGTGCTTATATACGGCAGGAATCATCGCCATCTTTCATTAATTTCATTTTAATTTTACATGTAAAAATTAATTTATTTACTTCACATTGGCAGAATTGTGCGAAATGCGCAGATAAGCCATTAATTAAAAAAAGAAGAAGAATATACGGCAGGGTTGTCATTTTTGTAAAAGGATTGGAAACGATTTGGTGATTTTATATATGTCAATTGAATAGTTAACATAAGAAATAAAAACATCCATCTCAAAAATTCATCCTGTATGATGTCAAATGGGTTCATAAGTTTTGAGACAATCTTTTTACTGAAAAAATAAAATGTTACTGGCTGTTATTTTTTTTACCGATATTGAATTTAGAATGTTAACTTTTAGTGTTTTTGTATCGCAAATTCATTCGTTAATATTTTCTCGTAATGGAGGGAACGAAACAATTACGTGCAACTGTCATTTCGCTATAAGTAAATTATTAAAAAAGTTACACAACTTTTATTTCGCCTCAAAACTTATGGTATATTTGCTACATAATGAGTTAAAGACATTGTTATGATTTCACAATCATAATCATTTATTCAGTCTAGCCTGTACTTGTGAAAATCGAAATTCTATGACATAGGTTTGTAAATCTACGGGAGGAGATCTTGTACCGAGAAGAACCGGCAATTATTTAACTTTCGTCAATGATAACTAAAACTAAACCCCATATATTTCAAGTACGCCACATCATGCTTCAAATAGTACTTATTTCAAATCTGTTGGATAGTGGGGACGTTTCTTTTCATAGGCTTTTCGTAATTTTCTCATGTCATTATTGTTTTTTCTTAGTACGATTACTAACCATAGGCTCTTTCTTTCTGGCAGGGCGCGGTAGTGGTGGTCCGTCGAGACGGGTCTCGTCGTCGTAAGGTGGGCGTGGCGGGGGGCGAGTGCCCCCTTCCGACGGCTTCTTCGGCGGCAGGGGAGGGGGTGGTGACCCGCCCTCTGGTACACGCGTACTCGGCGTAGGTCGTTGCCGCACTAGGCTACCGTCTGTACCCTGGATGATAATATAATTTTCATATACAGTAACATAATATAATTAGTGCATCAATTATCAAAGAGCTCGATCCCGCAGTGGTTAGCGCGTCCGGTCTGCTATGCGTAGGTTAAGCAACTTTTGCCAGGGCCTTTATTAGGATGGGTGACCAAAATTTATTATTTGATGTTCTGCTCTTCGGAAGGCACAATCTGCCATTGGCCCCAACTGCATCTGCAGTCGTTAAGTCATTCAGCAGTCTCCCTACCTGGCCCACAGGTTGTGCTGCTTGTGCTCGCTAATTGAAAAGTAGCTGTACAAATGTTAATGTTGCGTACGTTATCTTACACTGTAAATCTTCTTCACAGTTTGGTTTTATATCTTTCACTCACATCAGAATTAAAGGGAAAAAAAAATATATAAACACGGTGCTACTTATGATATCCCTACTGTGCCTTGAGGTTGGTGATCAATTTCTGGAACTGAACTGGAATGAACAGTGAAATTGTTACGATTTTATTTCAGGTTTCATAAATGTTTACTTTTACTTAAAATTAACTTTTAATTAATATACTTCTTAATAATAATAAAAATTAAAATAATAATTATAAAAATTAGATTTTCATTCAATTCAAATTTTATATATAGAAGTCTGGATGTTCTAGATTTCGTGTCCCAGAATTTTCAAACCCGAGCGTTAATTTAAATAAGCATTTGCCGCCAGTTGCCAATTGGGTTTTCACGACTGCGCAGGATTACTTACGTTCCAGAACAGTTTTATTTCAAAATAAATAAAACTCGATATTATTTTTTTATTAAATTCGACAAAAAACTAAAATTTTATATAAACTAAAAGTTAATATCGGTCGAATATGAAACTTAAACTTTTGTATGTGTAATATAAGAACTTAAAATACCTGTCGCTGTAGCCTAGGTGACTTGGATGTGGGCTCCGGTGGTAAGCTCACTTGCAACGGTCCGTTAAATACATTGCTCCCGCTTTCAGCGGCCTGTTCCGGCTTGTCCAAGGTCAACTCTTTTGCCAACTTGTTCTTTATATCGTCCGCTCGCTGTGTGCTCGACTTAGGAAAATCCTGCATGCTAGTAAACGGATCGTCTTTAAACGAGTCCGAGAACGGGTCCGTGTTATCAAATGGATCAGTTTCCGCGAACGGATCCGCGGCGAACAAGTTCCCTGTGAACATGGCGGGTTGCGGCGGCGGTTTCGCTATAGACACCGTCCCGCCTGAATGTCGCGAGAGTGACGTCATCGTGGTCGCCGTCCCGTAGTCGGGTTTCGGCTCTGTGACGACCGGCAATATGTCGGTAATGAGCGTCTGACTGTGATTGGTCGGTACGAGGTCTTTGAGCACTTTCTTTGGCGGATTTTTGAGCTCCTGAAAGAAGAGTTTTTTGTCAACGTAAGGTTTACTGCGGCCGGTGCCGAGGGGGTCTAGTTCGGTGAATACGTCGTAACTGAGCGACGAAGATGTCGCCGACGGGGCGGGCTGGCTCACCTGGAACAGTCAGTCACCATGAGACTAGATAATGTGCTCGCGAACACTAACATGACACTTAACACAAAGAAATACAGACTAAAGTACCGGATATCAGTAATTATACATAGAGACATGAAGGTTTTAGGCAAAGTACAATTGCCTCATTGGATTCTATGGGTCGGTAGCATGCTATATATAAAGTGCACAAATACAAAGCACAGTATGTGCAACTGAAATAACAGTTGGTACAACAACAATAAGCCAAGTAAGGTGTCATGTCTGCAAACATTTATTTAGTCTTATGGTAATTGATACCCAACTCTAGAGCCGAAACGCAATACTAAATACGGGAAGCCATACGTCACATACACGAGGACACTATAAGGTTGTAAATCAAATGTTACGTTTTGCTGTAAAATAAAATAATTAAATATACATGCTTCACATAAAGAGGGTCGGCCACAGGAACTGTAATCGATACCACTGTAATGAGTTTTATAATGCTGTATTCGTAAGGACCTAAAATCAATTTGACGCAAAACACACTTGCTCCAATAGTTCGTATTGTAGTGTATATTATAGAATTTGCCACGCACTTTATAATATACCATAAATCAGATGACCTTCTGATGAATAGATTTAATGTTGTAAAATTTTATCTAGCCATATGAATGGTGGGATTCATCGGAGACAATAATAAAAGCCCTATTACTCAAACGCTGGTCCACATAAAGCAGTTTTAAAATGCTCAGGTAATGACTATTTAGTTATAATCGAGCGATTCGGCATTTTGTAAGATGTAAATTAGATTTTCGATACAAAATCCTTTGAAGTCTCCGCGTAGTGAGAAGTATTTCTACAAAATGTGGACACCAAGTGCAGGCGATAATAGCTTAAAATTCTCTATCACATTACTTCAACGGATTATATATTAGTGACATAAGAGTATACAGCACTAGTCTTTATAATAAACATAACCAGTCAAATCATAAGTACTGTCACATAGGTTTTTTACTTTTTTTATGAATATATTAATGCAGTCGTGGTGTGCCCTGCGTAAAATCGTAATTTATGGTAAAAGCAGGTGAAACTTAGAGTTAACAGAAATAAACGAATTTTAGAATTGCTTGTACTTGTGCTCGCTGCATCGTAGAATTCAAATGTAAAGAAAATCTATTCTGTTGCCTTATTCGGCTCGGATTGATTTGTTGGCAGCTTTAGAGTCGCTCAAGATATTCTCGATTAAACAAAACACCAATATTGTTATAGACATTCGATCGTACTGATATAGACAAATTCTTACGTAATAAATATTTAACGTATAAATATTAAAAATCGCAGAGGACATTGGTCATTGAGTTAGTGCATTTTAGACAATAATTTTAGTGACAGTAAGTTTCATTTTGCGTATTAATTGCTATATAAATAATATAGTTATATACATGTAACAAAACTAACAAGTGATTAGGTACTTTATCTATAATTTAACCAACTGAAAGTGTTTTTCATCAAATTGATTTCTTTAATTTCATCAATAAAGTTTAATAATTTTAATATATACTTATAAAAGCAAAGCCGAAAGAGTATTATTAAAATGTCATCGCTCATAACAATATAGGCGTTGTGCTACATTTGGCAACACGTTTTTACTCACCGCCATTTGCTAGAGCGAGAAAGACTGTGGGTGTGCGCCGCACGCCGGGTAATCCTCGCGGCGACAGGTTACACACTATCTTTCTCACTCTAGCAAAAGGCGATTCCGAGCGACGGAAGGAAAAAGACTATAACGTGCTTCAAAATGTACTTCAACCCTAAATTGTGAAGCTAAAGGTGGGACTACATGGACAATTCAATTTAAAAACATTATGTATTTATTATTAATTGCTCAATTATATAATTAGACTAATAATATATAAAATGATGTACGGACAAGTGGTATAGATATGGTAATTTTATTAATTGTTAAAACAAAGTGTCCGTGTAATCTTACCTGTACATGCAGGATCCACTAGTCATCGTCCTAATAGAACCATCAACATAATAACACACATATATATATGTTATTTTCATGAAGCTTGTGACATTCATTTCATATTAAGGTTTCTAAAGAATATAACCATGTTTAAATGGTTGGAACTGGCTCAAGATATAACAATATTGCGTATAATTTAACATAGAATATCACTATCATCGAGAAGTAAATAAATAATACCAGGTATGCCGGAACATTAAAAAATGTACAACGTCAACAGTTTTATTATATTGTTAACAGTTTTATTACACTTTCAACAGAATATTAAACTGTTAGCAGATAATATTGATAGTATCAACCACGTTCACACACTTAAACACATGTGATATTTTGAAATATTTGATATAACATCGGGCAATGTATTCGCCGTTAAATAATCCAGCCTATTAGGACGACGTATTACAATAACATTAGACATATGGTCAGTTTCACAAACGTCCATTAAGGTTTAATGACGCTTTTGTCAAATATGTATCGGTAATGTCGCATTAAGCTAATGACAATTTTAATGAAAGTTTGTGTAACTAGCTGATACAATAAAGTCTTAAATCTAATTTACACATTAAGTAGCGAGTGCAAAGGTGTTTATTAGTTTTTATTAGACAAAATTATCCTTAAAGCGATAAATGTTAAGTTTATTAGTGCATTGTAAATGGATTCAAGTTAAGTACCCACTGCACTTAATTAATGTGCGGTATATATTATTAATCGTATGTACTCATGCCTGAATTATAAGGGATGTCATTGCGACAAATACATACATACGTACACACATTATGACATGTCTACCCAGGAGTCGCCTTCATGACGATTGATTCCTCCCTCAAGATAGATAGACATGTCGGTATAGCTCTTACTGGTCCTCCTGCCTTCCCTATAGACCACCTCGACCTCCAGATCTTACACAATTACTCTTATCATCACACATATTTATGTATCTCTCAATGCATTTTCTCTTTACACAATTATACAATAAATGTGCTCACCCATTCAGCAGTCTTTATTGTTCTCAGGCCTGAGGGTTTCTTTACTTCAACATTTACATGTCTCCCATTATTGTAGGTCTGAGGGTTTCTTACACATGTCTCCTCATTATTATAACACAACTACTCAAACTCTTCTAGCTTTCATCATTATAACACTGATTGTTTTATTCATTGTATAAATAATTATTATCATATTTTAACCCGCCATAATTTATGTCAAAGTTATGATGATTTTACAGTGTTACCAACATAAAATAAATAATATTTAGTTCGGAAATCGCATGTTTCGCGACACTTAACTGGGCTTGCATGACTACGGCCCGAGGGATTGACCCTCACACATTCCCCTTGTATTCGCTCTTGCATTAAGGTAGTAATTGATAATGCTCATAATTACTTCACACTCTCACTTATCGCTTGATAGTTTGGACGTTTCCACGTTGATTTTACAAATCACATGCAGTTGCTACTTAACAATGTGTAAATATAGCTAAACGCCCATCAATTTTCATCGACCGCGCTAAAGGAGGCCGACAAACGAATTTTAGGATTTTTATTCTCCGCATATCAGGGTGGTGAATTCTATGTACAAATTTGTAATTCTAAATAGTTAATAGGGCGCTGTATCTGTTTCCATACATACAAATTTTAACATGTACACGATCGAAGAATCGTTATAATTGTAATAGCACCTGTCATTTATTTGCAAGGTGTAAATAAAATTAGCTTTGTCCGCATCCTTCGGCTCGGATTAGTGTTGTTTATCGATAGTCCACTATCTATTATAAAGTAGGTGATAAATCAATAAAATACAGTTTTATATAAACTATTGCAGCGATACAGCATTTTGTGCAATACTACTGAAAACATTAACAATGTTGACACTGTTGATTTTGATTATATCTGATAGATTTCGCCATATCACCAATACTATTAAATTTTTTCGGTATATTTCCGTTTTCTTTTGTCGATTGCTCAAAATGCGCTAACGATATTATTAATCATAATTTCCGGAGTTAACTATCGATAGTTAAACTATCGACAGTTCCGCAACACTAGCTCGGATCTATTGGCTATCGGCCTCAGCCGTCACTCACCGGTGGCTCGGGCAGATTGTCGACTAGAGAAGCGGGCGTCGGTTCGAAGTCTGCAGTGACTGCAGCTAGATCGAACGTCATCGATGCCGGAGTTTTGTTTGGACTGAACACCGTACGGTTAGTGGCCGGCGTGTTACGGCCGCGACTAGACGAGCCGGACGGCGGCGGCGGTAACAGACCCTTCTGGAAACATCCAGAATGCCCATTGTGATGTCTTTGTGCACGCAATGTCTATAATAACGCCTATAATTATAATGCGAATGCGAAAAATTTACGAAATCTTGTTAGTTGTATGGCAATGTTTCGCATGTGCTTCCTCTAAACCTATTATTAGCTCAATGAAATAACTACGTCCTTTTCTGTATGATTTCACAGTCAACTGGGAAAAACTTCGTTACACAAATGCACATGTTAAATAGGGAAGATTACGAACATATAGTAAACAAACAATTTTTTTCTTCCGTCTTAAATTACACTCTTTCCAAT